GAAATAATTTACATTTTTTAAAAAAACCAACATTATATAGCTTGTATTTAACTAATTAAATTACTCGTTCTCTTTCTGTATTCGTTATTTCTTGTCCCGATATTTGAAATATTTAAGTAATTTGAAACTTACTTTTGCTATTTAAATTTCATATTCATGTATGATACCCGTCATTTGATATTTAAAAGTTGAACTTGAATTTAAGTTTCCAAATTTTTTATATCATCTTGTTTTTGATGAGAAATAGTTATATAATTCTTTTTTTTTGAATTAACCGTTTCTTTTTGTGCTCGTTCTTTCCTTCTAAGATAAGATTATATATATATATATATATATTTATAAATGGCATCATTTACATATATATTTTTAAAAAAACCAACATTATATTGCCTGTAATTAACAACATTTTAAAAAACAATACCGTTAATTATTAGGTTGTAGAAACGTATAGCTTGTAATTAGAGTATATGTTTTATTTTGTATTACCGTAAAATTTGAAGAAATGTAAGCAAAGAGTCACATTTATAAACTACGAACTTATCTCTGTTTAAATCCTCAAAAAGAAATGAATCAATTGAACAAAAAATATATTAAATATTTTACTAAGTAATGAAAATTCAAATAACTATTTTATTCCATTAACTGTTTAATTCTTTTTGTGGATTGGCAATGTTATATTATATGGAAAATATAATAATCGTGTGATATGATTTTCTGAACTTATTTAAAACTATTAAATGCTAATTGCATATTAGTTAATATCCAGCGAAATTGGGGAGTTAATATATTATTAAATTGGTGTTAATAATAAAAAATGTTTATTTGATGATTTTATTTTTGGTCACATGCTATATTGGTTTTTTAAGTATATTTCAAGGAAATATATAAATATCTTTTTTGCTATATTTTCGAAAATCATTTTCAATATGAAGATTTTGAAAATAAGAGATTGTATGCGATACAAAATATTTATTCGATTGATTTTTGAAAAAAAATAATTATTGATTTTTTAAAGATTTTTTTTATTTAAACATTTTAATTATTTATTTAAGACTTTTTCATTTTTAAAAATTTTAAAGATAATATCAATTTTGTTGAATATTTCTCCATATTTTATGCTATTGTAAAATATATAACATATTTATTTTTCTTTTATTTTTCCTAAAACATCAATATAAAACAAAAAAAAACATATATGATGATTTTTGTAACGCAAAATAAATATATATCATATCATAAAAGTTATACAAAATACAAATAACATAAACACTTGAATAAAATCATTAAACCAAATAAAAAATACTATAGATTAGATTTTATTAAATATTAAATTATTGTTTAAAAATATCTAAAAATGTTAAATATGTTATATACATGGAGATTTTCGAATTTAATTTTCCACTTTTTTGGCAACAAAATTAGTATGATACATAAATATAGGTAGTTTCTGTTTTTTATTATTTATTTATTTATTAAAACATTTTTGCTGTCATTAGTTTTGTTTGGCAACTGAAATATATTTCATGAAATTTTTTTTTTAAAATTGGGTATGTTTGGCTTAAAGTTGTCCTTCCCAATTAATAGTATAGATTCCACAAAAAAAATGTATTAAAAATAAAAATACAAAGATTTCAGGCAATGACGTTTCAGCAAATTTTTTTTTTTTTTGTGTATATCTATATGAAGATTTAAATTTAATCAAATAAAAGTATATTAATTTCAATTGTTTAATTATCTTTTTTTTTTTTTTGTAAACCAATTGTTTAATTATCTTTTCATTACTTTTTAATGATTAAATCAGTAATTGATTGCATTTCCTAAAAATAAAAATATTTAACTTTTTTCTTATAATCCTATTTATATCTTCCTTAAATTATAATATTTTCATATTTAATAGTAGCAAACGTAATTAAATCCATAAAATTGACACTTAAATTTTTTTTTAAAGTCAAGCTTTAAATCATAAAAGTTATAAATTTTTATTAATTAGTACATAAAAACGAAAAGCAAGAAGATTTATAAATTCTAGAAACCTCTCTTGATTCAAAAACGGTAAGAAATCTACAAAACGAAACCACAGAGAAATCTCTATGTACAAGTAAGATCAGCTTTACTCTGTTTTTTTTTTTTATAAACTGAAGTAAAAAAAAAAGACGACGGAACGAAGAAGACGACATCGACGATCATCAAATGTGTGAACTTTTACTTTCCGATCAAGGTATAATCGATCTTTCTTTCACGACACTGCTTCGAATCGCTTCTAAATTGTGTAATTTTGACCTAATTTTAGTCGAATTTAGGGTTCTTGAATTCAAGGTTAAAGGAACACACTTTGTCTGGGTTTTTAGTTGAATTTAGATCTGTTCTGTCATGATTCCATCTGGGTTTTTCAATTCTAGTCTTTCTTGTGTAGTGGTAGTTAGTATCCCACTATTTCAATGTTTCACTATAGCTTTCTAAAAAGCTGAAATTTTTGACTTTTCTTGTTTCTTTATCTTCATAATTAACTCCCAAGAAATTATTGTAAGCTTGCAATAAAAAAAGGTGTTTTTGTTGATTTGTTTCTAGTGTAATGTGACTCTGATGTTTCTACTGACTGATCAAAGGAACTAGAGATCAGAGCACTGTGTTATTAACTTATTATATAGCCATCTTGTTCTACTTGTGGTTGTTTATGCTGGTGTACAAGATTTAAGAATGTACTTAGTGATTCTGTGACTTTGGCTAACTTTATTTCGTTTTCTGATAGTGAGTTGTGATATTTTGTTTTGGTGACTTTTCTCTCTTGGAAAGTATTATTGGAGAAACCAGTGACTTTGGTTTTATGTTGTCATTTTCCAATGATCTGAATCCTGTGGGTAGAGATATTCTAATAATTACTTTCACTTTTTATGATGTTAAAAATTCTACTAGGAAGATTGGTGCTTTGATGGGATGGGACACCATATTGCTAAGGTTTATGGTGTTAGCATATAGTACTAGTACGTCTTTATCTTGAGAACCAACCACTATGGAATCTCACCTGGGAAATGGAGTAGGCAGTTCGAGATCTGCCAAGAATGTAAAGAACACTTCTGGCTCAGTTGATTGGTTGAGCAAAGGTATGCTTGAGATGAGGATTAGGGACAAGACAGAGACTGATGAGGAGAGAGTAAGTTTTGCATCTTGAGTTGTTGTAGCTTATCTTCCTTCTCATGCACCCATCTATTTTATGAACTAGTTTACTTGTATTTGATGTTTTTTCTGTGTTGCAGGACAGTGAACCAGATGTCATTGATGGGGTTGGTGCAGAACCTGGCCATGTGATCAGAACTACACTCCGTGGACGAAACGGTCAATCAAGACAGGTTAGATGGTCAGAGAAAAAGTGTTTCTAGAATGTTAGTGAGACGTACTGATTCTTATACAACTGTTTAATTTTGATTGACAGACAGTCAGTTACATAGCAGAACATGTAGTTGGAACTGGTTCTTTTGGAATGGTTTTCCAAGTAAGTTAGACTATTTTTCTTGTTGTCTTGTTATTTTTAAAGATTCCCAAACATTTTATTTTTCCTTGTGGTGGTAGGCTAAATGCAGAGAAACTGGGGAGGTTGTTGCCATTAAAAAGGTTCTACAAGATAAGCGGTACAAGAACAGGGAATTACAAATTATGCAGATGCTAGACCATCCGAATGTTGTTTGTTTAAAGCATAGCTTCTATTCAAGAACAGAAAATGAAGAGGTTTATCTGAATCTTGTCCTTGAATTTGTTCCCGAGACTGTCAACCGTACTGCCAGAAGCTACAGTAGAATGAACCAGCTGATGCCATTGATATACGTCAAACTCTACACTTATCAGGTGATTATTTCCGGTGTTTAATATTTTTTGTGTCTCTTTACGTAAGCTTCACAGGTACTCACTTGAACTTAAGACACATTAGGTTTCTTAAATGATATGTGTGAGCTGGTTAATGTTAATGCCAGAAGTGATGGTTGGAGATTCTCTTTGTTTTGCTAGATAGATTGTATACTGGAAAGCAATTACTTCTGTAACTATTGTCTTTTCGTTAGAAGTTGGAACTGTTGAACATAATTGATTGTCTTTATGAAAAGGAAGTAATGCTAAAAATTTTGTCGAACCTGATAATTTGTTGGGCACTCTCCGATGATTTTTGAGGATTTTATGCTAATGGGTACAGATTTGCAGAGGGCTTGCTTACCTTCATAATTGCTGTGGTCTTTGTCACCGTGATATTAAGCCTCAAAACCTGCTAGTGAGTTTCACTTTTCTCTAAGCTACTTTTTTTTTTTTTTTTTCCTTTTATAGTAAGGTCTTTGTCACCACACATAGGGGTTTTATAGGCACTAGTATAGATATAAGACAGTGTTCTATTCTTTTACAAATTTGATCATTATACAGTAGGTTAGATAATGACGTGATAATATTTCATTATTACATGCCTGGAGGGTTTAAGCAACAGGGTTAAGTATGCATCTCGCTTCTGTTTATTTTCAATCCTCAAAGTGGTACCGGGCTTCTGTTCTGTATCGGGCTATTAATACAAGCAGGATGTTAAAACCTAAACTTTTGGGAAATAGTTTAGGTTTTTAGCTGGTCAGTTTGTTGGTTCAAATGTTTAGAATCCTCTTTTCTTGTGGTTTTACAAAGAATGAACTTGTTCAATAATGTTCCAGAGGTCTAGGTGCACCCTACCTGCAATTGATTAGTTTTTTCTTAAAAAATTGGCAATTTTCAAATTAAACAAACTCCTATTTGGCTTTACCTCTTTTGTGATGTGCAGGTGAATCCACACACACATCAGCTAAAAATTTGTGATTTTGGGAGTGCGAAAGTGTTGGTAAAGTTTATCAGCTATATAGCTCTTAGTAGTTTATTTTCTTGGTCCATGCCTGGATTATGACATGTCATGCTCCACAGGTGAAAGGAGAACCCAATATTTCTTACATTTGTTCAAGATACTACCGTGCCCCCGAGCTCATTTTTGGAGCCACTGAGTACACAACTGCAATAGACATATGGTCCACAGGTTGTGTGATGGCTGAACTGCTTCTTGGACAGGTTGGAGCACTAGTTTTGTGTTAGCTATATGATTTATGCTTGTTATTTTATTTGATCGTTCTCTTAGTTGTTTTTGTTCTCATGGATTAATTGTTATACAGCCTCTGTTTCCTGGTGAAAGTGGAGTCGATCAACTTGTCGAAATCATAAAGGTAGTGTTTTTTCCTAGAAATTATATTAGGATTAGTTTTATATACAAATAAAATGACATCTGTTAGAGCTGGCACTGGCTAATAGCTGTGCTCACTGCTGATTATCTTTTCATTAAAAAATTTACCACCATCTTTTTAGTACGACCTCTTATAATCTTTCTTCATTGGCTTTTAATTCTCATGCAGGTTTTGGGTACACCAACAAGAGAGGAGATCAAATGCATGAATCCGAACTACACAGAATTTAAATTTCCTCAAATAAAGCCTCATCCTTGGCACAAGGTATGTCGCTAGTAGTATTAATTATAAATAATATTGATCTCTTTCTCAGTTGGATTCTAGTTGTTAGTATCTGTCCAATCTTGTCTTCGATTTTAGTGAGGGCGATTGGAGTGCATGTGATCAATTAACTTCATATTTCATTCCTCTGCCTTACAGAGCAATGTGACAGCTTTACCGATAGACATTACCTAAGACATTGTACTATGGGAATCAAGTACTTCTGTTTAATCAATGGAATTTTCTGTATAAGATCGTTATGCAAACAAAGAAATTGAAACATCTAATACTCCCAAATAGGAATTACTTATACTTTGACTCATGGATTTTTTCTGCCTTGTTTAATTTTCTATCTTAAAGAAAGTTTTATTCAGCTGCCTTTACAGAACTCTTTAGCTTGCTCTATATTATTCTTATCTTCTTTTCCTGTGCCCTGTGCTAAAATTTCGCTTTGAAAATCATATTCTTGGTTTTACTTACCTCTGGTACTGTTCTTACAGCACAAAAATCATGTGTTTGCTCTTTTCAGGTTTTCCAAAAACGTTTGCCACCTGAAGCAGTAGATCTTCTTTGTAGGTTCTTCCAGTATTCTCCTAATTTGAGATGCACAGCGGTACAATATTCTTAATTTTCTTTGACTTTGTTACATATTTTCTTTGAAATAGGCATCAGAAGCTAACCCATTATGTCTTATGGTGTTCTAATAGGTGGAGGCTTGTATCCACCCGTTCTTTGATGAACTAAGAGACCCAAACGCTCGTCTCCCAAACGGCCGGCCACTTCCTCCACTTTTCAATTTTAAACCGCAAGGTAAAGGTTCCGTTATTTGCTACTTCTTGGTTTTCTGTGTTAAAATATTTTTTTAGGGGAAGAAAATTAGTTTGTTAATCCCGAGCTCAACTAGCATGTAGACTTAGGCTGCTTAATCACCTACATTTGAATCTCTCTACTCCTGATTCTTTATAGAGATAACAATTATAAACAATAATCAACAATATCAGTGCTCCTTTAGCAATGAGCGTAATCAAATCGAAGTTGGTTTTTGTATCGAACGATGTGTGATTCTCTTGAGCCTGCTATAGGAAAAAAGTCTTCTAATGTATTCTTCATGAGAAGATCCAAATTGCAGTACTCACCACTCCTTATTATACGAAACTGTGATCCTTCATCAGCTCGAAATCTGATATATAGGTGTTGTATGAATTGATTGATAAGCTTGTCTGCTTGTGTCCTACAGAACTCTCTGGTATCCCTCCTGAAACTTTGGACCGGCTTGTCCCAGAACATGCCCGTAAGCAGAACCACTTCATGGCATTGCACTCGTAAGTCTCTTCCGTGTTTTCTGTACGATCTATCGGGTGCTCTCTTCTTTTCTCTAAGCTCTCTAGATCCCAGTCTTTGGGGAACCCCCATTAGAGCACTCTCTGTAAACAGAAATCACCGGAAAAAAGAACCAATGACTTTGTATTAAGTTGCATCCCCATCCCTTGTCGTGTCGAAGTGGGGATACGTGAATTTACAACATTACTTTGCTAGATAATATTGATATAGAGGAATTTACTTACATTTGCCATAGTCAAGCCAAAATTTAACAAGAACACACATGAAGTAAGTTGGTTTTGTTTGAATTGTATTAATAATGAAGTGAGACATAACGATTGCTAGTTAAAAAACAAAAACAAAAACAAAAAGCAAGAAAGTGACAATGGGGATCAAACTTGTAAATCTTCTTGGTTCACTTCATCGAAAGGCGCGATAGTCTCTCTCAAGTGAAGGGGATCAGACTTGGGACATGAAAAGAGCAACCTGACTGAGTAGGCACTTCATCTATTTTAATCTTTTTGCACTTACCTCCCCTCACAATATAGACGTAAGCTTGTCCATTTCTATTGTTGCTACAACACATGATGAAGGTCTTTCCATATATATTATCCTCGACCATGTATCTTGAAAACTTGTGATAAAACCTTGGATAGCTAGGTCTTGAGATAGTCATGAACTTGATCCAAACCACATCGTCTCCATCACCCCTACTGCTAATCTTATTCTTTGTCACCCAAATCTTACTCTTGCTCGTTTCTTTGCAATGCTCTAACAACGAAAACCGATCTCCCTTGTAAATCGCAAGGACATGAGAATGAGAATAATTTCTCTTCTTACAAGGTAGGACACAAAAGGGCTTGACTCTCTCTTCCAAAAGATCGAGGAAACGGATGAAGTACCGACCGGTTTCAAGATTATAAGCTGTCCAGTACAAATTTCCATTCAGGGACACATTATTATAGCGTAACGACTGTTCTCTGGTGTGCTTTGCTACGTACCCGGCATGATCAATAGACTTCCACGCATTGGTTTCAAAATCAAACATGATAATTCCCTGGTGATCATCCTCAAAACAATAACTAGTCCCAACAATCTTGTTATAACTCTTGTCTGGTCCATTACCATTGTAGACCATGCCACATAAGTTAAAAGAGAAAACCATGGTCTGAATCCATCTAACCTGTCTAAAGAAAGGGTTCCACACCACACCACATGGTCTGAATTCATAGGGTTGATATAAGAAGAAGTACCCATCAGAGTTACCACAGTCGTCATAAGTATGATGATCAGTCCCATAAATCTTGGTAAAGTCGAAGTAGAAGTTACGCACTTTCGTTGTTGGATCTTCGTTATTGAGATTGACGCTTACGGAATAAGTTCTATGATCGGTATGTAACATGAACTCTGGTCGAGCGAAAGGCAACTGTTTGTTGGCGAATCTCTTGTTGTTGAGAAGAGTGTTCCATGTTTTGCAAACGGTTCTGAAGCGAACGAGAGATCGAGGTGGAACTCGCACGAGTATCTCTTCTTCAAGATCTAATGGAAGCTTTCTTGGCGACGACATTAGGGTTTTTTTTTTCTTTTTTTCTTTCTGACAAATGTATTAAGGAAGGGAAGAAAAATAATATATAGTGATTTTAAGTAGAACCGGAGATAAACTAAGATCGACGACGAAAACCAATAAATTATGATTAAGATTATTAATAAATGATTAAATGTTAATATTTAAGTTTAGGAAATTTATAGCATATATTATTTACATTCATGTTTATGTCATATCTCTTCTATTCTATATATAAGATAAATTTAACCATTTAAATTATTATTAATATTTATGTTTGAGAAATTTCCTCCAGTACCATATTTTAAATATTTTTTTCCAAAAATACAAAATTTGTTTTTTCCAAAACTACAATTTTCTAAAAATACTATTAAAAACATTAAAAATTTGATTTTTGAAAATACTTAAAAAATTTATGTTTGAGTTGACTATTTATATAAAACTAATAATAATTTATTTATGCAATATATAAAACGTTCTTTACATGTCACTATTTTTACTAAACTTGATCCAATGTATTGAGATATATGTACGCTACATTTCTTTATACAAGTACTACTATGAGTACTATCCGTTCGTAGTTCAAAACAAATGAGAAAGAATCGTAATTAAAAAAAAAAAAAAAACACTGATTCATAAATTCATAACTCAAACTAATGTAAAATCAGAAGCTCAGATTTTTCAGACTCAGGTCTTTGTTTTTGTCCTATAAATTAATAATACCAGGGTGGAAATCATAAACAATTAAACATAAAGGGTCTTTTATGTCAATTCAATCAGGCTAAATATTTAAGGCCCAATAGGCCCATGTATACCAAAAAGCCTCTTAAACTAGTTTTCATCCCTCTCTCTCATTTTTAGGGTTTCACCAGAGAGACAGACCAGTGAGAGGAGTCGTAAAAAATGCCGGCGGGACACGGAGTAAGGGCGAGAACAAGGGATCTGTTCGCGAGACCATTCAGGAAGAAGGGTTACATCCCACTCTCCACTTACCTGAGAACCTTCAAGGTCGGCGATTACGTGGATGTCAAGGTTAATGGAGCTATCCACAAGGGTATGCCTCATAAGTTCTACCATGGTCGTACTGGTCGCATCTGGAACGTTACTAAGCGTGCCGTTGGTGTTGAAGTCAACAAACAGGTTTGTCAAAATGTTAAATTTTGCAACTTTATTGAATTTTAATGATCTGTTTGTGTTTGTATTGTGTTTCTTGGCTAATTGAAACTTGAGATTGTGTTGATTGTTGAATTAGGGGTTTTTAATTGATTATGATTCCTTGGTTATCTTCTGAAATGTTTGGTTTTGTATTGGTTTAGAGGATTCATGTTTTGATTTTGCCTTTGTCTTTGAGCTAACTTAAGAGTTTGGCTTATGTATTATATGTGTTGGCTTTTGCTATTTATATGAGTTGTTATCACATCCTCTATGATTCTTGTGTTTACTTTGAAGGTTCTTGTGTTAATGAGTAATGTAATCTCTAGTTTAGTGACTTAATGATGTGTTTGGGTTTGGATTTTAGATTGGGAACAGAATCATAAGGAAGAGGATTCATGTGCGTGTGGAGCATGTGCAACAGTCAAGGTGTGCTGAGGAGTTTAAACTCAGGAAGAAGCAGAACGATGAGCTTAAAGCTGCAGCTAAAGCTAGAGGTGAGACAATCAGCACCAAGAGACAACCTAAAGGTCCTAAACCAGGTTTCATGGTTGAAGGTATGACATTGGAGACTGTTACTCCCATCCCTTACGATGTCGTCAACGATCTCAAGGGTGGCTATTGAGTTGTTTCCATTTGTTATGATGTTTTTTTTGTATCAAACAAGACTGATTTCTACATGGTATGAGTTCAGATTTTGTTTCTACATTCTTCAGAAATATGACAGCATTGGGAAAAATTAAATCTCTTTCAATCTTAGCAATTGGTGCCACAATAATAGAGATCTTTCATTTTTTTTTTTATCGGCAATAGAGATCTTTCAGTGTTAGCAATATTTCAATGTTACAAATTGGTGCCACAAGAAAAGAGAGAGCAATGGAAACAAAATCACTTATTAGTAAAGTTATTACGTTAAGAGACCTTTCACCCAAATGGTTTGTAATAGCCACAACAGAGAACAACAACCAAGGCTTTACCCGGATACTTGAGAGGGAGAGGGCAAGGTAGAGTGGCCAAGACAGCTCTTCAAAACCAACTTGAATCTAGTGGTTCTGTCGAGGTGTAATTGGATCCAGTGCATATGACAGGATACGCGAATGAAGTAGGAATTGGTCACTAAACTCCTTACTAATATTAGATTATACAACAACAAGAGAGATTAGCGCGGTTTTCAAATGTCCTATGCAAAATCAAAAAAAAAAAACATTATTTTATCCACTTTTATGCAAAAATTGACATTTTTTTTACCTTTGCTCTCACAGCTTGTTTCTTTACATTTTCTTTTTTGCAAAGTTACTTGATTCGACACAATTAAGACTCTTTTGTCAAAACTCATCTTAGCTAATATCTCTTCCACAATATTAAAAAAATTACCTAATATTTTTACATAGTGTAATTTAGAGTTAAAAAAATAATATATATATTGAGAAACTCCACCCCCTCCCGGCATTGTGATTCTTTTAAATTAGTTTTGGGCATCCGAGAAAATCCAAAATAACCAAACCGAGAAAAACTGAAATTAATTTTGGTTCCCGATTTCAACTAATTTCTCATATGTAAACCAATCGGCGGATTTATAATTAAGAAATTTCTTTGGATATCATATGTTTAAGTTTTTGTTCTAAAAATACCACAAATTGTTTTTTTCCCAAAAATAACATAAAGTTTTATTTTTCCAAAAATAACATAAACATAAAAGAAATTTGAATTTTGAAGATATTTACATTTAGGGTAGAGTTTTTAGGGGTAGGGTTTAGTGTTTAGGATTAGAGTTCAGCTAACGAGTCGGTTCGGTAGGCAAGAACCGATTAATTTTTACTAAATCATTCTAATTATACATGCCCTAATATTTTTTTTGTTAAAAATGATAAAATGAAGAGTTTATATTTCATAATTTGCTGCAAAAATGTTATAATAGATATGATAATATTCAAATTAAATTAAATTTTTAATTTTAAGCATTTCATTAAGAGTCATACCATTGGACTACCATAATTTTCAACATCAAAATAGAGTTGCTTATAAATTTATTTTTAAAACTTTAATGTAAAAAATGTGTAAGCACCCTCCAATGGTGCTAACCATTGGAGATGCTTTAATGATAGGTGCTTAACATAAAATGAACAATCTAATTAGTATTAAAAGGGAGAAGAGAGAGATTTATTTGGCAAAAAAGAAAGAACATGGAAAAATAATTTTTCTTTTTAATATTCTACCCAAACAACCAATAAAATTAAGCCACGTCGCGTTGCTTCACTAATCTTTCCGTTGCCAACATAAGCAACATTTCTCCTTCTTCTTGGCCATGTTACTTCATTTTCCATTAATTTGGTCTACTGAAAAATTAAGCAACCTCTAAAAACTATCCAATGGAACTGCTCTTAGAAAGAAATCTAAGAACATCATTATTGCAAACATCTTAAATATAAATTTTATGATTAACTTAATATTATAATTGAAAACATATTTTAGCACAGTGTTTGTATCTTATATAATATATATCTTATCAATTAACCTTATTTTGTATTTAATTAAATCAAAAGTTCATCTAAGAATTTTTTAAGATCCCCTATTAAGGGTTTGAATGGAAAGGCAGATATAAAGCAGATATATAGTAGGACACAGATTAACTGCACTTTGTTTACCATTCATATAAATTAATAATTATCATTTATAACAGGCAGATATCCGGTTAAACTTCTGTAGGTGGAAAAAAAAAATTATTTTATGGTCATATTTTTTTCAGAACAGATCAAACACCTATATTTTAAAATGTTTAATATATAATCTGCATTTGAACTGGTAAATCTGTTTGATCTGTCTAATATATTTGATTTGCTCTTTTTAATATGTTTTCCATTTTTTTTTTTTTGTCGACAATATGTTTTCCATTTGAAGCCTAAGTTTTGCACTGATTGTGAAGAGCCACGTATAGTACGTACCGAAGTCAAGACGTCTCCATCACCACTTGCATTCACATTCCTAAAATAAAAAGACATGTTACTTGGAAGTTGGAACACAAGATACACTCCGTGTATGGGGATTGTCACTCATACATTGTAGAGTTATATTAATAGGAAAAAATAAGAAATGTTCATGATAGACTATCTTATCCAACAAAACGGAAAAAAACAAAAAAGCCCGTGTATGAAGAGCGTAGTAATGTCATTGGTACTTCTGAAGTCAGGTCGTCCCCTCAAATATTTAACGTGTATAAATAATGTTAACCATGCATACTGAGTACTGACCATTTCGACAAAACTCACACAAGAAGTATAACACATTTCTCTCAAACAATAAATTTTTTAGTCTTCTCTCATGAAGATTTCGTCTCTCGCTGAAGTCCATCAAGTATTCCTCAGTTTCCGAGGAGATCAGTTGCGCTACAGCTTCGTCAGCCACCTTCTTGATGCCTTCGAGAGACATGGAATCTTGTGTTTCGTAGACAAAGATGAGCTAAGGGGGCAAAACATGACAAACCTTTTTGTGAGGATTAAAGAGTCTAAGATCGCGCTAGTCATCTTCTCTACTAGGTATGAGTGAAAATAATCTCTAGTTATATATATCTTCTTCATTCAATCTACTTCAAAAGAAGGAAGGAAACACACCATGCAGGTTTGATATTTTATTAGTCCTACAGGTATGCAGAGTCGAGTTGGTGCATGGATGAACTGGTGATGATGAAGAAACGTGTGGATAAAGGAAAGCTCCAAGTCATTCCCATCTTCTACAAGGTTAGGGCAACGGATGTGAGAGGACAGACAGGTGAGTTTGGTGACAAGTTCTGGGAGCTTGCTAAAACTTCTCGAGGATATCAGATCATGCAGTGGAAGGAAGCTCTCGAATGTATTTCCAACAAGATGGGTCTGTCCTTGGGAGACAAAAGGTACTACGAGTGCTTCTGCTTTAATTTATGTTATTTCCTTTTTCTTTTCTGATTTACAAGTCTTGATTGTTTTTAATTAGTTTTGTCATTTTATGTTATAATTTGCTAAAACAAATTGTTGATAAGTTGGTTCATTTATCGCAGTTTTTTTTATCTAAAATAATATATAGAATATGCACATGTTTTAAGCAACTGATACTCTTATTTATCAGATAACAACAACACATGTAATTTTACATGGTATCATACTATTTTTTCAAGTCACATATGAACAAATTACAATGCTTATCTATTAAACCACATGTTTTAGTTTATTTATTTCCTTGTCCACCATGTATAGGAGTATAGGACTTGCAACAGAATTATGAGATTTTTAGTTTTATAAGAATTTATTTTCCAGTTTTAGCATTAAATATACTCTTCTTAGTGATACTTAGGCCATCCTCATTGGGGGTATCTTAGTAGGCTAAGATACCCACACTTTTTCAAAGAAAGTATATTATATAAGGATTTTCTTTGGAAAAGTGAGGGTATCTTAGCCTCCTAAGATACCCCCAATGAGGATGCCCTTATTCCGCTAAGGGCATCAGGGGATCTTAGAGCTAAGATTTACTAAAGAAAATATCTTATTTAAAATATATTCGTTGGTAAATCTTAGCTTTATGATCCCCCTAATAATGATGGCCTAATAATCATCTTGCAAAATGTGCAAGAGTTCGCGGATTTTGTTTCTCCAATATGCGTCTGGTGTATCTGACTGGCTTTCTCTAGGAAAGAGTCATTTTTCGTGAGCCACAGAGGTGGTCACATAACTGGGATAGCGACTCTGTTCACTACTTGATCTTAGAGGGTAGATTTTAGTTCAAATTTTATTATAATATGTTTCTTGTTAATTGGTTTTGTGAAAAAATTTCTTTTGAAAGTTTACATGATTCATGAGTAGCCGCCGAATAGCCAATTGCCAACCTTAACTTGCATCTTATCACTTTTATCCTTTTATGTGACACTTAATACAACTATTTTTGTAAGAAAAAGAAAGAATTATGTGTGGGAGATAAGAATGCAAGGGACTTGTTTCTTATTTTTATTTTGTGCAATGAAGATAACGTTAAAAGATGTGTGGAACTTAAGTATTATGATTTGTGCCTTCAATGGAACTACCATTTTCCCGCAGTTCGGAAGCCGATTTTATCAAGGAAATTGCTGAAGAAGTAGAAAGAGTTCTATTTGAAATACTACGCAAGGCTGCAAAAGATTATCAATGTATCAGTTTCCTCCTAGATAAGAAGAGAAAGATGTATCCAATTTTTCCTGAAAGTAAAAAGTCTTGGAAGTGGTCATATCAATTTCTCAAATGCAAGAGGTCAAGGCTCAAGAGGGAAAAAACCAACAAGGTCTGATATACAAACGTGGTTTTATTAAATGCAAGTACGTACGAAGCTCTTCGTTTTGTTTTTCAATAAACTAGACTCACCAATTTCTTTATTTCATTGTAAATAATATTTAATTAAGGACTTTGCATATTTGTATTTAAAATAGTGTAAAATATTTTTATTTCTTATATTGACATTTTTATTTTTCTGAAATGATGATTTAAAGAGAATTATAAGTGATTAATAAATAAGTGTTTATAACTGTTTTACACCAATTCAGAAGTTGATACATGGGCTGTTTTCGAAACAGAGATCGGTTTATTAATCAGAACCTAAGAACATCACTGTCCAATAAGAAAAACGATGAAGCAACACTTGAGTGATGGCGATTATTATCCTTGGTCGGAAGTCTTAACCTTACCGAGAAAGTACTATTACTTTATTCATCTTCAACCATTCA